GGCCAGCCTGGTCTACATAGTGAGTTCCAGGACAGCTGGGGCTACAGGGAGACCCTGTCTCAAAAAGACCAAAATAAATAATAAATAAATAAAATAAATAATTAAAAGTAAAAAATTATTAATTAAAATAAAAAAAACCCACAAAAACAAAAAAGAAGCCAGATGTGATAACACATTCTTTGTAATCCTAGAACTTTGGGAGGTGGAAGAAGGTGGATCAGAAATTCAAGGTTATCCTTGTCTACATAACCAGTTTGAAGCTGGCCTGGGGCTACATGGACTTGATGCAGGAGGCAATTTGATTTGAGGAATTTGTTAGTGCTTATGAATTTAACTTTTTTTTGTCAGTTCCAGAGATCAAACCCAGGTCTTGCGCATGCTAGGCAAGTGCTCTACCACTGAGTTGTGCTCTACCTCTGTCCTCTTTTTATTTTGCTTTCGAAGCAAGCTCTCATTAAGTTGCTAGTCTTGACCTTGCTGTGTAGTACAAGCTGGCTTTGAACTCGTAGCAATCCCCCTGCATCAGCCTGTACCATCAGGTCTAGTAAGTTATCTAAACTTTTTTTTTTTTTCTGACAAGGTCTCAGTATATAGCCCTGGCTGGTCTTGTTATGTAGACCACTTTACAGAGATTTGCCTGCCTTGCCTGCCTCTGCCTCCTGAGTGCTGGAATCAAAGGTGTGTGCTACGGAGACAAGTTATTTAATTTCCTGCACTACAGTTTCCTGTTATGTAAGAAAAAAATGTAAGACTATGATCTTTATGGATTATTATGAGGATAGAGTTAATATTTCTTTTTTTAATATTTTATTTTTTAATTTTATGTGTATGAGTACATTGCCTGCTTGTATGTGAGTGCACCATGTTGTGCAGTGCCTCGGCAGAGGTCAGAAGAGGGCTTCGGATTCCCCTGGAACTGGAGTTAAGGATGATTTGTAGCCACCATGTGGATGCTGGGAATTGAACCTGGGTCCTCTGCGAGAGCAGTCAGTGCTCTCAACCTCTGAGCTATCTCTCCAGCCCCATAGTTAATATTTCTTTTCTTTTTCTTTTTCTTTCTTTTTTTTTTGTCTTTTTGAAGCAGGGTCTCCCTGTAGCCCCAGCTGTCCTGAAACTCACTATGTAGACCAGGGTGGCCTTGAACTCACAGAGATCCGCCTGCCTCTGCCTCCCAAGTGCTGGGATTTAAGGCGTGTGCCACCACACCTGGCTAGAGTTAATATTTCTAAGACCAGAGATCGACACATAGTAAATGCTCAATAAACTTTAAAATAGTTTTTATTTTCTGAGAAAAATTTTAACTCTATAGTTCAAGATGGCGTAGAACTTCTGGTGATCCTCCTGCCTCAGCCTCCTGAGTGTTGAGATGACAGACATGCACCACATTGTCTGGTTTTGCTTTTTTGAGACTGGGTCTTGCTGGCTTAGAACTTGTCATATGCCCTATCTCAGCCTCCCCAGTGAATAAACATTATTTTTATGTGAAAGGGAAAGAGTTCAGCAAGTGATACTCAGATTTAGCACAGAAAGCATTGTTCTGGCTCAGTTTTGCCTTGCTTTATCAGCCGACTGCACGAAGCACACTTCTCTTCAGCCTGACGTCTACTAAGCTGCCCACACCCTGCTGTTTGATAGTGCTGTGTTTTCCTAGGTGTGTGCTCTCTTCAGATGTATTTCACCCTTTATCTAGGTGATGTCTGTGTTTGAAAGGCCAGCTATCTCCTCTGGAAAACTTTCTGACTCCAAGGTTTGGTTAGTTTTAGATGGATCTCCTTCGTTTCCATGACAGTCTGCTTTTTTCTATTAAGATACATCATAGGATAAATTGGCAGGTCACACAATAAATTTATCTATATCCTATATCTGCAAACTCCAACTTCCTCCCTTTCTCTTTAAAAAAAAAGTGGGGCTGGAGAGATGGCTCAGCAGTTAAGAACATTGTTCTTGCAGAAGACTGGGTTCGAATCCCACCACCCACATGGCAGCTAACAACTGTCCATAACTCCAGTTCCAGGGGATTTGACAGCCTCTTCTGTCCTCCCTGGGCATTGCATGACACGGGTGCACTTATCTACATGCAGGCATAACACTCATACACATAAAATAATAATAAATAAAAAATTTAAAAAATAAAAAAATAAAAAACAAGTGCGATGTCATAGTTCCATCTAGTGAGAAGCTGAAGCATGAGGATCCCTTGAGAACAGAGGTTCAGTACTACCTGGGAAATTCAACAAGAGGTCCCTCTTAAAAGACAAAACCAACTGAGTATGGTGATGCACACCTTTAATCCCAGAATTTGGGAGGCAGAGACAGGCAGGCCTTTGTGAGTTCTAGGCCAGACTGGTTTTCATAGTGAGTTCTAGGCCAGTCACGGCTACATAATGAGACCCTTTCTTTAAAAAAAAATGGAGGATGCTGGAAAGATGGCTGATTGGCTAACAGTATTTGCCCCTCTTGCAGAGGACCCAGGTTTAATTCCCAGCACCCACATGGCGGCTAACTACTGTTTGTAACTCCAGTTCCAGGGGATCCAATGTCCTTTTCTGGCCCTTGGCTTGGGTACCAGGCTTGCACATGGTAGAGTACACACTTTGATGATTAATTGAGTCTTGAGTAACCGGTATGATTACAGGAATCAGATACAAAAATACGCTTACTACCATGTTCCTACTATGTTTGATTTATTTTTATGGGTATGAGTGTTTTTCCTGCATGTATGTAAGTGTACCACATGCATACAATGCTTACTGAGGCCAGAAGAGGATATTGAGTCTCCTGGAATTGGAGTTAAGGACAGTTGTTAGCTATCATATGGATGCTGGGAATGGAAACTTAGTCCTCTGTACGGAATGGCCAGTGCTCTTAATTGCCGAGCCTTCTTTCCAGCCCCACCCCCATATTGTGTTTGGATGGTGAACTGATTCAATTTTCCCTTTTTATATATTTAATTTTAATATTTTACTTTTAGAAAATATTTATTATTTCAAGATATTTTTTATTAATTTTATTTATTTTTCCTTTATTTTTTTATTTAATAACCACATGATTAGAAGAAGCATTTCATTACAGCTTTAACCTACTCAGTAACAATTTCCAGAGCAAGAATATATCTCTTTCAAAAGTGGCTGTAATTTTTAGGTTCACAGTTGAATTAATACAATTATACAATATTGAACAGGTTTATACTACCCTGTAAGACATAAAATTGAATGAGTTTTTAACCTTTAAAGATCTCCATTTCATTTTAAAATTTGCTATTTCCTACATTTTTAATGCTACTAACGCTTCGATGTTTGCACATGTGTCTTTAATCTCTATGTATCTGATTATTACTAGTCACAGTCGGTTACACTCGGATCCTTGGCACCTGAGTATGGATATAAAGTCATCAGGTAGATTTCACTGGTAATGTTTATCACCTCTACTAATTAACATGAAGTAAATTTTTATGCTTCCTCCTCAAATATAAATTTGTTGATTTTTTTGTGTATGTCATAAAGAACATCCCAAACAATCTTATTCATCTATATACCCACTTCCCAAATGGCGCCCTCCCATAGCCTCCCCCTGCCCAGAGCCCATATACTCTGTCATCCCTGTTTCTGTGCACTGTGTTGTTGATGCCCCCAGCCATTCCCCAGTGCTTGTCCAGCTGCTGAATCTAGTCAGCCTATCTAGAGATCCTTGTTGTAGGAAGATCAGCTGTTCCTCATCTAGCAGCAATCAATTGTCAATATTCCTTTATATAAGATTGGGGTCTGCTGTTCATTTTCCCAGTTCTATGCTGGGTTACTGTCTGGGAGTCTCTTGGGCTACCCTGGCCAATAACTCAAAGGAAGGTATCTCCTGTCTGGCATTGTTTCTTGTTATGTAGTCTTTAGCTATACATATGGACTCTTAAAAAACTATATTGACCCCATTAATGTTTGGTTATACTTTCCTTTTGGGTGTTTATGATCCTACAATTGGCCCAGATAAACCAATTTACTTTAACTCTTAAGGTCATTTGAGGATCTGTTCCTCAGGGGTAACATGGGCTTGGGAGGAGCCCCTGGCTCCATTCTTTTACCAGTTCTGTCTATATGAAGATGAATCAAAGGTCCTGCTAGACCATGGCTGGCTTCTCTTGGAAGCATGGAGGAGATGTTTCCTCTGTGTTGACCCTCCCTCTTTGTAGACTGGACACTGGTTCAAGTCCATCT